CTGCCTCTCTGCCTACTTGTGATCTCTGTCTGTCAAATAAATAAATAAAATCTGTTCAAAAGAAAGAAAGAAAGAAAGAAATACCTGGAAATATATGTTCAACCTCTAGGTGATAGGATGTTTTGAAAATCTACAGTACTTAAAAAAAAAAAAAAAGTCATGTGTTCTTTTAACTGAGCCAGCCAGGTGCCCCACTTTTATGGATTTATCCATTTAATTTCATTTTTTAAAGACTTATTTATTTATTTAACAGAGAGAGAGAGAACCACAGGGAGAATAGCAGAGGGAGAGGGAGAAGCAAGCTCCCCACTGAGCAGGGAGCCTGACGTGGGGCTCAATTCTAGAACCCTGAGACCATGACCAGAACCAAAGGCAGACGCGTAACTGACTGAGCCACCCAGACAGCCCCAGAGCTCCTATTCTAACTAAAACAAGGAATGAAAATCTTCCCTGGGATCTCAGGGCACAGAGGTCACTGGGGACCTTAGGAAGAGTTGCCTCAGCGGAGTGGTGAGCACCGAAGGCAGACTAGAGCAAGCCAGGCCTGGAGAGAGGTAAGCAGGTGGACGTGCGTGTGCGCGTAGCGTTTTTGTGGAGTCTGGCTGTGATGGGGAGGAGAAGGACGGCGCACCGGCTGCGGAGGGGGGCCCGCGGTGTCTCCTGGCTGCACGCATGCCAATGCTCACCTGCTCCGATCTCCCTGCTAGAAAGAACTTGCTGATGAACCATGAGGAGCTCAGGCAACGGGCAGCCTCTAGTTCCAGCACCTTCTAAGGCTAGAGCATCAGAGCCAAGGTGTCACTCCTGCGGCATCCTCCAGCCAGGGACAGACACGGAAACTAGGGCCTGACCATTTCTACCCTGAGGACCTACCAACCACAGGTTGAAAGGGTTTTCTGTCACTTGCTTTTCTTTTCCTTTTTTTTAAAGATTTTATTTATTTATTTGACAGACAGAGATCACAAGGAGGCAGAGCAGCAGTGCAGAGAGAGAGAGGGAGAAGCAGGCTCCCCTGCTGAGCAGAGAGCCTGATGCAGGGCTTCATCCCAGGACCCTGAGACCATGACCTGAGCCAAAGGCAGAGGCTTTAACCCACTGAGCCACCTAGGAGCCGCTGTCACTTGCTTTTCATGACAGAGACCAGAGGATGCTCAGATACCCTGTGTGAAGCATCCAGTTGGGAAAGAGCAGCTGAGTATGGGGGAGAAGATGCACAGATGGAGAGAGGGAGGTCCTTGATGAGGCAGAAGGACCGGGGTCTGGACTGCGGGGGAGCCGTTTGGTCAGGCCAGGGGAGGAAGAAAGAGCCAGGAGGGAAGGAGGGCGGGGTGCAGACACACGAGGGCGAATAGATTTGGGAGCAGGGTGACGGCAGACCTCCCTGCAGAGAGTTTTCTCTTTCTCTGAGAGACGGGAAGCAGGATCAGGCCCCAGAGCCAGGAAATTAAGCCCTTCCTGGAGCCTGGGCTGTGTTTCCGTTTTCCTCTCTTAGCCTCGTCTTCCCACCTGCAGGATAAACGGTTTGAACGAAACCCCTGGTCCCCAAACACGTTTGATCCCCAGGAGCTTTTCAGAAGTACACTTTTGGGGGACCCTATCTGTGAATGTCCATAGCAGAGTGGTGGGGGCAGGAATTTGTATATATTTTTAAGGAGCCCCCCCCTTCCCCGGGGCGGATGTGGGTGCACAGCCAGGTTGGGGAAGTGCCCTGTGGGGGCGCTCTGGCTTTGAGAGTTTGTGGTTCAGGAGGGAAGATGCACAGTTCCAGCAAAGCATTATGGAAGCCTCAAGCTATAGAAGCCACATGCCTGTTCCCGTCACCGATAACTAGAAAAGCCTCAAAGCTCAAAAGGCACCAGGAGTCAAGGGGAATAACAGGAAGGCAAAATGAGCAGCGAGATCAGAGGCCCTACCTGCATGGAGAGCCCACCGCACACACTCTGGGGCCATGTTTCCAACCCCACCGCGGGACGTGGGTCAGGGCTCGATGGAGGGGACTCCCTGGGCAACCGGAGTCAGGGCTGGATCAGGCCTGTTGCAGGAGCTCATGGATGCTTGGCTGAGCTGCCTTTCTGAAACCCGAGCCCTGGGGTAGGAGGAAGGGGAGGGAGGGGCTGCCTGGCCCTGAGAGTCCACGCCTGTCCCCCCACCCCGGAGCTCCTCCTCTGCCTGGGTGCCCCTTCTCTGGGGCTGCTCCAGACCGTGCGGGTCACCTCCACTCTCCCTTTGCCTCCCTCTGCCCCCGAGGTCGGGTGGGGACAGGCTGGGGCCACCAGCCAGCTCCATGGACGGGGACTTTGCCTCTGCTCACCTTCCAGCTCTGGAAAGAAAAGAAGAAAAAAGGTCTGTGTTGATTTGCTTTTGGGGGATCCTTCCCCCTCCTAAACTCCTGGGGGCAGAAAAAGTGATTTGAAATTTGACCTTGGAAAGACTGTGGAAGAGGGGACAGAAAGAGCCTAGACCATTCCCCCAGGTATGAATACTTCACTTTTGCTGGTGTGTGTGTGTGTGTGTGTGTGTGTGAGAGAGAGAGAGAGAGAGAGAGAGAGAGAGAGAGAGAGAGAGAGAATGGCAAGTTTTCTACTGGTCAGACGTGGAATTACCCTTGATGATCTCCTGGGCCCCTTTGGACAGCTTCATTCTATGATTCTGCAGCCCTAAACGTCACTCAGTCATTCAACAAACATTTCTCGAGTACCCACCCTGTGCCAGATGCTGCCGTTGGATAAGATCTTGCCTCTGCCCCCAAAGGTCCACAGAGAGTAGTAACAGTAAAATAGGTACCAAGCGTAGGGTGGGCCGGGCATTGGGCTAAACCTTTTATAAACTTTAGCTCCTTTAACCCAGCAACAATGGTTGGAGCGAAGTGTATTCCTAAGTCCATTTCACAGATGAGGACAGTGAGGGCACACAGCTAGTAGGTGTAGAGATGAACATTGAGTTATGCTGCCTGCCTCCCCCCCACCCCGAAGCTATAAAGGTAAAAGGTGCACTAATAAAGGGAGGGGAGGGAGTGTGAGAGCTTCAGAGAGTCACAGTTCACGGAGGGCAGGGAACAGTTAAGCCTCACTTCCACCTGGGGTCCCGGAGGTGAGGCAGGGCCAGGCCCCGATCACTATGGAGCCCCTCAGCAAAGATTGGCCCATGGCTGCCCCTCCTCCAGTCCTCTACTCCCCATCTCCCAGCTGTTCCCAGGTCAGGCAGAGGGAGGACAAAAGCTGATTATTCCACTGGGGGCTGTCCTGGGCCCCATGAATGGAGCATTGAAAACCCCGTGCCCACATGCAGATAGGTTTTCAGTCCTTCCCCAACCAGACTGTTTGTACGCCAGGACGGAGGCCAAGCCAGGGGGAGACGGGGGCTCTCTCCTGCTGGGAGGTATCTCCCTCTCAGTACATCTCAGACCTGTCCACTAAACCAGACTCCCATCTCCCCCATACAAACCATACCACTGCTGTCCAGGCACTGTATCAGACTCCTGCGGAAGGTCTGCCAGGAAGGGGGACATGGGGTCTCACCGGGACACCACTTACATGGGGCAAATGTTCGCCGAGCACTACACGTCCAATTTATGCACTTTGGGGCTTGTATACCTCGATCCAAAATTTATTTATTTATTTAAGGTTTTGTCCACTCATCTTCTTGAGAGGGGATGGGGAGAGGGACAAGGAGACTGAGCTGACTATAGAGCCTGACGTGGGACTCGATCCCATGACCCTGAGACCAGGACCTGAGCTGAAATCAACAGAGGCTTAACCGACTGAGCTGCCCAGACACCCCCCCACAAATTTATTTACTTATTTTTAAGTCATCGCTGCACCCAACATGGGGCTCAAACTCATGACCCTGAGATCACAAGTCACGTGCTCTTCCAACTGAGCCAGCCAGGAGCCCCTCCTCAATCCAAAAATTTTTTTTTAAGATTTTTTTAAAAATTTATTTATTTGACAGAGATCACAAGCAGGCAGAGAGGCAGGCAGAGAGAGAGGAGGAAGCAGGCTCCCTGCTGAGCAGAGAGCCTGATGTGGGTGCTCAATCCCAGGACCCTAAGATCATGACCTGAGCCAAAAGGCAGAGGCTTTAACCTGCTGAGCCACCCAGGCACCCCCTCAATCCAAAACTTAAACAAGCGTCTTCAAGGGCTTCCTACTCCAGAGGGATAGAACATCCCACGTGGCATTTAGTCTCCCACCTCTTCCCCATTTTGGCATATTTGAGAGTCATGGGAACCATGTTTCCTTGATTTCCCCCCCCTTAATTTGACTCATTTCTTCTTACTTAAATTAACTTTATTATTTACACATATATATATATTTCAAAGATTTATTTATTTATTTATCAGAGAGAGACAGAGAGAATGCACATGCAGGGGGAGTGAGAGAGGGAGAAGCAGGCTCCCCGCTGAGCAGGGAGCCCAAGGCCGGGCTCGATCCCAGGACCCCGGGATCATGACCTGAGCTGAAGGCAGACTCTTAACCGACTGAGCCAAGCGTCCCTTTAAATTAACTCTAAAGAGAAACTTTATATTGCTCCAAGTAAATGGAAAACCAGAAGCCTTTGGCATAAATAGAAAGCACTGTTGAAAGAAAGAAAGAAAAGAAGAAAAAGAAAAGAGTAAACATCCTTTTATCGCCCACTAAAATCATGTGGATTACCAGCCGTGGCACCAACACCGGGCTTTGGGATGCGCTGAGCCCTCTGCAAGACCTCCAGGCCCATGTTGGCCTGGGACCAGGCAACCCTCCAGCTTTGCCTCCTCCCACTTGCTCTCACACACCCTCCACTCCCGCCAGACCTACCTGCTCACTAGAGTCCTGTGCTCTGTCCTGTCCTTTCCAGTGGTCCCCGCCATGGCCCCTGCTCCTGTCTCCACTCAGAATGCCAGATGCAAGCAGAAATGTCACATCCCCCCGAAGCTCTCGCTGGGCCCCTTCCAGCTGGAAGTGACTGGGGATCTTTAATTCCAGATGTTCCAGCTGTGACTTCCCCACCGCCCCTTGATGGGACCCTCCGAAAGGCCATCCCCTGGCTGGATGCTCCCGGAAGCAGAGATGCGAATTGATCCCCAGCGGACAGAGAGGAGCAGGGGTTGGAGGCCAGGAGACAGGAGCACCTCCCCTTTACCCCTCCCCCCAGCCCTGTCCTTCCTCCTCCTCTTGCCCCTGGGTGAGTGCCCTCCCCTAACTCCTGACCTGTCCCCTTTCTGGCTCTCGGGTTTTCCCAGCTGTGATTTGTCAGTGAGGTGGTTTCCGAAGTTCTTTCCAGCTGACACTTGTTCAGGGTTGAGTTAAGGGTCCTCATTGGGGAAATGGAGGGCTCAGTGCTGGAGGTGAGGGCTCAGCCTACACAGAGTCTGGGCAGGTAGGGGACATTGGAAATAGGGAAGGAGGGACAGGAGTGGGCTCAGCAGTGGCTATTCGAAAGGCAGGGATGATCCTAGAGATGATCCTAACTTGAGAAAAGAAGAAACTCAGTCTCAGTTTCTTCATCTGTAAAATGGGTACAGTAGTACACACCTCGGAGCACTGTTGTAAGGATTCTATGAAGTAACGTACACGAACGTGTCTGGGACCTATAATACCCTGCATGCAAGCGAGGAGCTGTTAGGGGTTTTCCATTTCCCATGCCAGGACAGTTTCCCTGTTTACCTCCCCGCCTCTCAGGCCATGTGCCCAGAATTGTGTGGTGAAGAAGAGTGTGGCCGTCTGGGTTGGAATCCCAGCTCTACTCCCTGTTCACTGTATGGCCTTGAGCGAGTTGCCTAAACTCACGAAACCTGACCATCCCCATGTGCACAACCCTACCCACCACCTCATACGTCATCTTAGTGGTTTAGTGAGCCAGGCACATAAAATGAGCACAGTGCCTGGTGTATAGACATGAGGGCTCAAGCAGAAGGTCTTGTATAGGTAAATGTTCTGGGGGATATCCTAATGAATCCCAAAAGCACTTAAGGCAGAGCTAGTGACCATGGCTTGGGGCGGAGGCGAAGGGGTGGGGCCAGGAAACACCGAGATGAGATGGGCACAGCCACATCACCAGGCAGAAGGCCCAGAAAGGGGCATGTAGCTGGTGACCAGGGGTTTGGAGGAAACCGAGAGCACTTCTAGCTGAGGGCTCCAGGAAGGCTTCCCGGAGGAGGGGGTTCCGAGCTGTATCTGGAAGGAGCTGCAGGGCTGTAATGAGCAGAACTGTTCAAGCAGAGGACACTGCAGGGTTAAAGACCCAGAGATAAGACTGATGGGATATAAAGAAGTCGGAGGTGGGGGGATGCTGGGGGCCTGGTTGGCTCAGCAGGTATAGCGTGTGACTCTTGATTTCGGGGTTGTGAGTTCCAGCCCCACTTTGGGTCAAGATTACTTAAAAAATTTATAAAAATTTAAATTTCATTAAAAAATATAATTAAAAAAAAAAAGTCAGGGGAAGCTGGTCAGAAGGTACTAGAAGGCTTTGCAGAGAAAGCTCAGGGTCGGGGACTCCTGCGGGAAATGTGGAGTCTTGCAGTGGAGGGAGATAAAAAGACCCCTGTTTCAGGCAGATCTCTCTGGGGTGATGGGAGATGGGTGAAGCAAGGAGGCCCACTGGGGCAGTCGCGGGGAGAGAGAGGAGAAGCTTGGAGAAGACAGGGGAAGTGAAGAGGAGGGGGGTGGTGGTAAGGATGGCGGTGGGGAGTTGGTGGGGAGGCTGTGTCCCCAGGGCCAGGAGTCCCGGGGAGGGTGTAGAGGGGCCAATGCTCCTCCTCTTTCTGTTTCAGCCGGTGCTCTACAGCCCGCCCCACTGCCCTTTCCAGGTAGGTGTCTCTGCCCCTCCTGCCCACACCCTGCCCTGCCCCCACACACTCAGAGGCTAAAACAGATCCTCGGGGAGTGAAGACTAACCAGCCCACGGTAACTCTAGAGGCCCCCAAATGGATCGCGCTGGTCTCCCCATTGGACCGAGAGGGAGAAATGAGGCCCCAAAGGGACTGATCCTCAGGCTCCCACAGCTTCACAGCAAGGTGGGCGTCCTGCCCATCAGGCCCTGCGATCCCTCTGATGCCAGCTCAACCCTCTCCACAGAGCTGAGGCTGGTGGGGGGCCCGAGCCGTTGCCGGGGGCGCCTGGAGGTCTTGCACGGCGGCTCCTGGGGCAGCGTCTGTGACGATGACTGGGATGTGGTGGATGCCAACGTGGTGTGTCGACAGCTGGGCTGCGGCCTGGCGCTGCCCGTGCCGCGGCCCCTAGCCTTCGGCCAAGGCCGAGGCCCCATCCTGCTGGACAACGTGGAGTGTGGCGGGCAGGAAGCCGCGCTGAGCCAGTGCCGCAGCCAAGGCTGGGGCGTCCACAATTGCTTCCACTACGAAGACGTGGCTGTCCTATGCGATGGTAAGCAGAGACCTGTGGCTAGGGAGGGCAGGCAGCAGGGCTGCAGGCTGGATGAATGAAGGGACTTCCACGCGGGAGGCCACATCAGGGGTGGCATTGGCTAGTCCTGGTTGTCAGCGTCCCAGTGGTCCTTCCGCTTCATGGTGTGATCTTGGCTGAAGGAGAACCAGCGTTCTTGTTTCTGTGTAGGGCTTTGATGGTTCCAGCAGAGGCCTCTCCCATTTTTTAAATCAAACAAGTGGGGTCAGTACTGGCAGCGAGGTCCATTTGGTGTGGAACTGCAGCAGAAATCTCTGAGAGGCATTGACCTTGAGAGTAAGGGTTCTAGTTTTCCAAGAAAATCACCTGGTGGGCTCATTAAAACACAGACCGTGGGTTTCTGATTCTGCAGGTCTGGGGTGGGGCCTGGAAATTTGTGTTTCCAGTATGTTCTCAAGTAATGGGATGTTGCTCTAAGAAGTCATCTGAAGCTATGGCTTTCTGGACTCAGGGGGCCCCTTCTCCTCTCATACCCCAGGGTTCCTGGCTTTGACTCTTTGTGTGGCCAGAGGCCCTATGGCAGGTACCTTAGGGGTCCATGCCCTGCTGCTCAGACAACCGTGGGTGTGAGGATGAAGAACAGAAAGATCCATGTATCCTCCTCCCTCCCACCCTGCTTCCTTCCCAGAATTCTTGCCCACGCAGCCTCCAACAAGGAAAGTGTTCACGAGTAGGGTGCCCCCTACAACTCCCCAGCATGGGAAAGGTAAGTAAGGGCAACACGGGGGATCACCTGGGCCTTAAGAACCCCAAGGGGAGTCTCCCATATCTACCCTTGACGGTGGGAAGAGAGGGATAACCACTGGGTGAGCTGAGTCATTCCCTCCCCATCCAGCCCCTCGCAGACCCCCAGGCTGCTCACAGGCTGGAGAGGGAGAGAGGAATCCATTCCCGTGGGATGAGTAAAAATAGTCAGCACAAGTTTAGTGAAAGAGCTGAATACCAGAGCTTAATGCAATGGGAAAGTCAGATATGTACAGAAACGTGGGTAATGATGTAGAGCAAGAAAATGGAAAGTGCCCTAAAGGATGGACAGATAAACAGGCAAGAAGTCCAGAGGAGGAAGTGGGTCTCATCTATCGGAGATCAAGGAGGGCTTCCTAGAGGAAGAGTTGTTGGCAATGCACCTGGAAAGGTGAGGCGGCTTTCACTGAAGTAGTAAGTGAGGAAACAGCATATGCTATAGGGTTAGGATTGCTTAGGAGCGCATGAACCAGGGCTAGGAAGGTTGGTTTTAGGCAGGAAATGACACACGCAAAGCCAGTCTGTCCCGATCCCACAAACCTCCCCCAATCTGGGACTGTGAGGAGGCAGTGCCCTGGGGTAACTGGGTGAACAGCTCCTCCTTGGTTTTGGGTCCTGGGGCACCATGCACTGTGGGTACCTGCGGGGCGTGAGGCACTGTGGGCACGTGCGGGGCCTGAGGCACTGTGGGCGCGTCGGGTCAGGTGCACTGATGGAGAGGGAGGCAGAGCCCTGTGGGAGATGCGCCCTGTCCCCACCCCCCCACCAGGTGAGGGCAGCGTGCGCCTGGTGGGGGGCACTGGCCCGTGTCAGGGCAGGGTGGAGATCCTGCACGGCGGCCTGTGGGGCACCGTGTGCGACGACGACTGGGGGCTGCCGGATGCTGCCGTGGTCTGCCGTCAGCTGGGCTGTGGGACCGCCCTGGCCGCCACCACCAACGCCTTCTTCGGCTATGGCACCGGGCACATCCTGCTGGACAACGTACACTGCGAAGGCGGGGAGCCCCGCCTGGCAGCCTGCCTAAGCCTGGGCTGGGGTGTGCATAACTGCGGCCACCATGAGGACGCCGGCGCGCTCTGCGCAGGTGCGGACTCGGGGGGGGGGGGGGGGGGGACGGGGCGGGGGCCGGCCGGGGGAAGGCTGCGGTGGAGGTGTCTCAATGCTCCCCGGTGCTTTCCAGGAAGACTCCGAAATTACCTTTAATGTCCATCTCAGTACTGCTCTAGTAGTGCCTCTGTAAGTCTTTGTGGTAGGTTTCACAGTATTGTGCCAGCAATACTCCAGAATTATCTAGCAGCACCCCAAGAATGCCCCCGGAATTTTCTAGCAATTTCTAGGTACTCTTCATGGAATACTAAAGAGTAAAGTAATATTACTCTAGAATTGCACCAGAGATACTCCTGAATTCTCTCACTGTAGTCCAGCAATGTATCCAGATTCTGGATGCTCTTATAACAGCATTTTCACCCACCTGGTCCTTCTCCCATTTTAAGAGTTTTTTGAGCAAATAAAAATAATAGGACCAGGGGCACCTGAGTGGCTCAGTGGGTTAAGCCTCTGCCTTCGGCTCAGGTCATGATCCCCGGGTCCTGGGATCGAGCCCGGGGGGGGGGGGGGGGGGGGGGGGGGGGCTTTCTGCTCAGCAGGGAACCTGCTCCCCGCCCCCCCACCCCGCCTGCCTCTCTGCCTACTTGTGATCTCTGTCAAATAAATAAATAAATAAAATCTTAAAAAAAATAATAATAATAAGACCAGTAATGGCACTTCACAGCTGTACTCCAGTCTACAAGATACAAATTGTTTGCCCATGTCTCACGGCAAACCAGGGGCCCTCATTCCTGGTTTACAGATGGGAGAGCGTAGGCCCCTTGAAGCAAAGCCTGACCCATGTTCATATACCGAACCCAGGCAAAGCCACAGCTAACCTTGCTGCCCAGTCTCCAGCATGACCCTTGCTCTTTCTAGTCCTATTTTGTCTTTAATATGGGAGTGAATCTTGTTTTGCAAGCTCCTTATAAACAGTGGAATGTACAACAGTGCACCCCAAGTAAATTACATACACGGTCAAGCAGGGCAGACCTCCTTGGACCCCAGGGGCGTTGAGCCCCACTGGGCTTTTTACTGGAAGTAAAATCTTTTGTCTTCTCCAGGGACACCCTCCATTCTCCCCTGACAGCCCAAGGCTGACCAGGAACCTTGGCCTCTGACCCTGCTCCCTTCTCTCCTGCTCTAGTGCTGGGCCTCCCGACTCTCACAGCACTACCACCCTTGGCCACAAGAGAGGACTGGGCCTGGCACACGGAGCCAGAAGGTAAGGAGCCCAGCCTTCCAGGCTGGAATGGTAGGGGCAAGGTAGGCAGGGCTGGGAATTAGAAAGGCTGTTCTGGATCTACTAGAAGGGGGCCCTGGCACCCCGACCAGGTCTTTTGGCCAGATGGTGAAGAGGCGGGTGAGAGAACGAGGAGCAGATGAAGCAAGGATGAAATCCAGAGCTCTGGAAAGTTCAGCAAGGTGGGAGGAGACAGTAAGGGATTGCTTTGAAGCTCTGAGATAACATTTGGGTGGGTGTTGAGGTTGGCAATGGAGTGGCCTTGAGAGGGTTGAGCTGAAGGTTGAACGCAGGCTGCCTGCACATTTGGAATTTGGTCTGGAACTATCATTAGGATCGAAATTAGGATAATGCCTGGAAATAGGATTCTGTTCATTCCAGTTAAGTTTCCCAAGCACCACAGGTGACCGACATGGCGACACTAGGATTGAAGCTGTGTGGGGTACAGGTGTGGTGCAGCCGGTGGATCTCGTAGGCATCCCTGTGCCCTGCTGCAGGCCAGAAGGCCTCTTTGTCCCCTTCAAGTGCTCTAGATACCCTGTCTCTGCAGCTACAGGAGTTGGTGCCCTGCCTTCCAGGGAGATGGCACTGTTCACCACCGCTACCTGGGCCGCGGGGAAGAAAAGTAAGTGGCAGAGCCAGGGTTCTGGGGAAGGTGGGCGACGGTGGGGCTGGGGCTCTGGAAGCCAGAGGCCGCAGCCCAGCCCCTATGCCCGCGGGCCTGTGCGCCCCGCAGGCGGGCGGCTGCGGCTGGTGGGCGGCCCGGGCCCGTGCCGCGGCCGCGTGGAGGTGATGTACGCCGGGGGCTGGGGTACCGTGTGCGACGATGACTGGGACTTCGCGGATGCACGCGTGGCCTGCCGCGAGGCGGGTTGTGGGCCTGCGTTGGGCGCCACCGGCCTCGGCCACTTCGGCTACGGGCGCGGCCCGGTGCTGCTGGACAACGTGGGCTGCGCCGGAACGGAGGCCCGCCTGAGCGACTGCTTTCACCTGGGCTGGGGTCAGCACAACTGCGGCCACCACGAAGACGCTGGGGCGCTCTGCTCAGGTAAGGCCGCCGCGGGACCGAGCAGAGGCACGTACTTCGGCGCGGGCGGGGCCGCGCAGCACGGCCTCGGCCGCGCAGCACGGCCTCCGCGGAATGGGCGGGGCCGCGCGCAGGCGCGTACAGCAGCGCAGGCGGGACTAGGCGGGCTGTAGAGAATGGGCGTGGGTCAGGCGTGGGGACTCTCTGCGGCACGGCAGCGTGAGCGGGACCGGAGAGGACGCGCGCACTGCGCAGAGGGAGGCGGAGCCCGACCATGGACGCGCTCTGCGGCTGCGCGGCGCGGGCGGAGCCGGGAAGGGAGCGCCCTCTGCAGTGGGAGTGGGAGTGGGGTGGGGCTTGGTGAGGGCGGGCGCTCTGCAGCAGGGAGGGGCGGGCCGGAGGTGAGAGGCGGGAAGCCCGGGACAAAGTCTGGAAATATGTGCTAAGGGAGGGGCCGCGGTACTTTGGCTCGGCTGAGTCAAGGACCCACAAAGCTCTAGTAAGCAGAGAGAGTTCATCAGCCTTCTGGGAGCAAGCGTCTGACCTTCGGGAGGAATCAGTGGAAAGGGGTGTTTGTAGAGTCTGACCTATTTTTAAATGCTTCTGTTCATTGATTGGGGTGGAAATTGATAACTTCACCCTCCTTTGGTGCCCTGGGCCTAATAGCTTTGGCCGCAAAGGGGTAGCTTCAAAGGCTTCTGCTTTGGGTCCCAGGGTAAAAGAAAAACAATCCTCATTTATTGATTTGAGAGAGAGAGAGAGAGAGCATGAGCAGGGGGGGAACGGGCAGAGGGGAGAGAGAGTGGGGAGACCCACCACGACCCTGAGATCCTGACCCCAGTGGAAACCGAGAGTCCGACTGAGCCTCCCAGGCGGCCCAGCAAACCCCATTTCTGATCCAAGTGGCAGAGAGCAGTTGTCCTTCAGGACTTTTCTCTACCCCTAAATCAGGCTTCCCTTGGGAGGCCGGGAGGTAACCTGGCCTCAAGGAACGTGTTCCCTAATGTGATGGCCACCTCTTTCTTTTTCTTTGTCCTTGCTGAGCCAGGCCCAGAGGAGCTAGGACTGCAAGTCCAGCAGGATAGTTCTGAGACCACCCGGGTACCCACTCCTCGGCCAAGGGACGGTAGGTGCTCACAGCCCTAAAGATGGAAGTAGAGGCATCAGGATAGGAAGGACCAGAATCCAGGGAGAGCATAGCCTGAGGTTACACAGCTCAACAGATTTGCACCAGGTTTGATAATCTTTGTTCTGTGCTAGTCTCTGTTTTCATTAATAGGGATATGGTGTCCAAAAAGAGGTAGGGGGGTTTCAAGGGAGCGATCTTCAGGATTCCTAGGGACAGGAACCAAAATAAGGGAATGTGGCTCCTTCCTGAAGAGAGAAACGAAAGGATTCACTTTTAAACCTGTGAGTGAGTGGAGATGATGACCTTCAGGGGACACAATCTCAGTCTCCAGAGAGCAGCGCTGGGGCTAAGGGTCTGGGATTATGAACAGAGGACTAAGAACAGACATGGAGCACTCGGGATGTGCACAGCACCCCACAAAGGCTGGGGCATGCTCTTCCAGTCCAGAGACTGAGTCTGGACTGCTGCCCGTCCTATTTTAATCTGATTTGTCTGCCGTTATCCATCAGCCCCTAGAGCAATGCTGTGTCTCAGACCACCACCATTTGCCTCTTCTGTCTACCCCTTCATGGCCTGGCATGGGCCAGCCCCTGCAAGCCCTGATCCTTGTCTCCACAGGGCACCTGCGTCTGGTCAATGGAGCCCATCAATGTGAGGGGCGTGTAGAACTCTTCCTAGGGCAACGGTGGGGCACTGTTTGCGATGACGCCTGGGACCTGCGGGCAGCCACTGTCCTGTGCCGCCAGCTGGGCTGTGGCCAGGCCCTGGCAGCTCCCGGCGAGGCCCACTTTGGCCAAGGCCGAGGCCCTATTCTCCTGGACAATGTCAAATGCCGAGGGGATGAGAGTACTCTTCTGCTCTGTTCTCACATACGCTGGGATGCCCACAACTGTGACCACAGTGAGGATGCCAGTGTCCTGTGCCGGTCATTGTGACCCAGCCTGTTCTGCAGACCATCTCTTCTGGGAGCCTGCTGTGGCTTCTCCCTCTTCCTCCAGGAAGCCCTCCTCCTGTGACAACTTCAGTTCACCCTACCCTTTCCTCCTCTTGCCTGGGAGAGAACCCACTCAGACAGTGTGGTCCTGCCTGGAGGAGCCTAGAGCCTGACTCTACCCATCAGCCTTCTGTGTGACCTCACCTGTCATCAACTACCATGGGCCCGGTTCAGTGAGAGCTCCCATTTTCTGCACAGCCAAAACATAAAATGGGGGGAAGGGAATGACTTAACTCTCTTCTTTGGTGGGGCTCCTGTTATAGCATCTTCCTGGACCCTGGTCCAGGAGGTTCAGGGGCTCTCTGTAAATGGGGTATCTCCCTTACCCCCACCCATATTGGGATTCTCCAAGAAGAGGGAAGGCAAGAGAGGCCCACAGCTCTTACCTTTGACTGTCTGGGGCTGCAGAAGAACCCCGGTCATTGCCCTGGCCTTCTCCAAGAGGGCCCAGACTCAGATGGTGCTTGGCTGGACAAGGGGACTGGAGGGGCCAAAGCAGGGACAGTGGCCCCTCCGAGCAGCTGGAACCATCATCTCTGATTTATGCTGCCCCCACCACAGAGCCCCCACTTTGCAGCAGCAAAGAACCCTGGGGGCCTGTAGCCACCTGTTCATAGGTGCCAAGTCAATAAAGCATTGTCCCCCCCACCTTTTAACTTGTGGGCACAAGTGCATCATTTGTAGCAGCAGGAAAGACTGGTTAGGACTCTGGAGAAAACTGGCTTGGGAATGGAGGGTAGTTCAAAAGCATCTTAGGAGAGCTCTCAGCAGGCCCCCACATCTTGGAAATGCTGACTCATGATACAAGGCCTGGGAGGCCCCATAGGGTCTCGGAGCCCATCTGCCTTTCTTTTGCATGTAGAGAAATTTTTCCACTGAAGGAAAGGGTCTGCTCCAAGACACATTGCAAGATGGGCAGGGTCACTAGAAGCAAAACTCGAGAAGAGGCAGGGAGATAAGAGCAGAACAGCACTGGGGCATTCCCAGGGGCTGCTCCTGGGGCAGCTCACCCAGAGCTCCAGGGGCAGAGAGAAGTGGGGGATCTTGCCAGAGCCCCTCTCAGGCTCAGAGTGAGTAAAAGCAACGGTCGTGGTCAAGCCTCTGTCTTCCATGCCTGGCCTGCAGGCTCTCTGCTTTTGCATGGCTGCTGTACCCTGTTATCATAAACGAAATGGCTTAAAACAACACAAATTTATTATCCTATAAAGCTTTTTTTTTCCCCCCTAAGGTTTTATTTATTTGAGAGAGTGAGCGGGGAGAAGAGCAGAGGGGGAGGGAGAAGCAGACTCTTCACCCACTGTGGAGACCCACTCGGGGCTCAGTTGCAGGGGCTCATGAGACCATGACCTGAGCTGAAACCAAGAGTCGGATGCTCAGCCGGTGGCTACCCAGGCACCCCGTCCTATAGTTTCTTAGGACACCAGTTCGAAGTGGGTCTTCTTGCGCTAAGCTCAAGGTATGGGCAGGTTGGTGTTCTTTCAGGAGAATCTACTTCCTTAACTTTCCAGGCTGTCCACATCCCATACCCGCTCCTGACCTCCTTGCAGCCAGCAAGTAGGTGCATCACTCCGACCTCTGCTTCCATCACCTCATCTCCTTTCCTGACGCTTCTGCCTCCCTCTTCCATCCTCTGAAGCCCATTGTGATTATGGGAGGCCCTGGATCATCCAGGAGACTCCCCCATCTCAAAGTCTTTAACTTAATCCCGTCTGCAAAATCTCTTTAGCCCTGTAAAGTAACCCATTCGGGAGCTCCAGGGATTAGGACAGGGGCATCTTGGGGGGAGGAGAAGTGGGGGAGGGCATTATTCTGCCTCCCACAGGCTCCAGACCTGGATCCTGGCTCCCAGCCAAGGAGCGAGGCAGACACTTGAGCTCCACAGTCCATCAGCACTTGGCAGGAATGGCTTTGTCTCCATTTGTCAGGGAGCTCTGAGACCCACTGTGTCATTGGAAGGATGAGGACCCAAGCAATTGACTCAGGGAGTCCGGGCAGAGGGACGGAGACCCTCCTGCCAGCCTGAAACCCCCAGAGCTGAGTGCATGCCCCGCGCTCAGATTTCTGCTCCGCCTCTCTGGCCACACCCACATTCAGGTGTGCCACGCCCTCGTCCTGAGAAGTATCACAGCTTCCCATCCCTGGACCCCTCTCTCCCATCTAAACAAACTGCTTTCGTCGACACTCTGTCAACCCTCAAAGCAGCCCTGTGGAAGCATTATCGTTCTTTTTTTTTTTTTTTTTTTTTTTTTTTTTAAGATTTTATTTATTCATTTGAGAGAAAGAGCGAGCATGAGTTGGGGGAGGAGCAGAGGGAGAGGGAGAAGCAGGCTTCTTGCTGAGCAGGGAGTCTGATGCATGGCTGGATCCCAGGAACCCGGGATCATGACCTGAGCCAAAGGCAGATGCTTAACAACTGAACCACCCAGGCTCCCCTGGCCTATGGGGTTTATCTAAGACCTGTTTTCCACCCAGTTATCAAGGCTAGCACTGTTGTTATGACTCTGTCGTGGGTCCTTTTTTTTTTTTTTAAGATTTTATTTTTTTATTTGACAGACAGAGATCACAAGTAGGCAGAGAGGCAGTCGGGGTGGGGGGTGGGGGCCCCCCGCTGAGCAGAGAGCCCATCCCAGGACCCTGGTATCATGACCTGAGCCAAAGGCAGAGGCTTTCACCCACTGAGACACCCAGGCGCCCCTGTTGTGGGTCCTTTTTAATATTCTGTGGGGTCAGGGCCTGCTGACTGGGCGCACACAGATAAAAAAGACAGTGCTTATGCCCTGGGGAAACTCACATAATAATCGCTTGCTGACTTGCCGTCCCTGAGTGGGACAGGCTTTCCCGAAACTCAGCCTGTTCCACTCAGAACTTTTGTCACCTGTACCTAAACCTGAGTTTCCCTGTTCGGTAAGTAACGCTACCAATCACTAGCTTAAGCTGGGAAACTGGGTGTTATCCCCAGCAATCCCCACCCCCCAAAACTAATTAGTTACCAAACGCTACTAATTCTATCTCCCAAACCTTGCTAGAATCTGCTTACTTCTCTCCATCCCACATTTCTCACCCCAGCTTCTTCACTGGCTCCCTATCTCCAGCCTGTTCCCCACACCACAAGAACAGTGGGCTATTTACAAACCTAATGCTGCCACTACCCTGCTCAAACACCTCCCATGGCTCCCTAGTGCTCTTCCTCAACTCCTTAGCTCAATTTGCAAGGTCCTCTCCAGCCTGGCTCTGCCTGTGTTTCCAGCATCATCTCTTGCCACTTGCTGCCAGGTTCTTGCCAGACTGAACTACTTTCAATTCCTCTAATGTCTGGGCTCCCTTCCCACCGGGCCTCTGCACACGCTGTTCTCTCTGCCTGGGCTACACGTCACCCTCTCCTCTCCTTCCCCTGAGTCAACTCTAATTTAGCCTCATGTCTTAGCTTTCCTTTTCTCCAGAACGCCCTCTCTGATGCCTCCTCCTCCCGGTGTGGATGAGGCACAGCCAGCCTCATACTCTGTACCTCCCCAGGGACAGCACTCACCCCTGCCGAGACTGCTGACTTGGCTGTCTCTTCTACTAGCTCAGGGGGCCTTTGAGGGCTGTGGCTGGAGCTGTCATGCCCAGCTTCGTGCACAGGATGCCATGCACAGCAGCTGGTCAAATACTAGTTGTCGGGTGAGTGAAGGACATGAGTAAATATTTCTGAAGCCCTTGTGTGCAGGGCCAGGCTCTGGGGCTCAAGAGCAAGAAGAGACCTAGACCAGCTTCCTGTTTACAAGGCACAGAGATGACCTTCAAGAGGAGGAGAGACCAATGATAAGCCACTGAGCATATCCATAATCAGAGAATTTGAGCTAGTGATTAGTGTTCTAAAGAACATAAAGTGGGTGTTGTGGTAGGGACTGGGTGGTCAGGGAAGGTCCCCGAGGAGATGGGGCTTGAGTTGGGCCTCAGTAATGAGAGGGAGGTGGCCATGAACCTTTTGGCCACGGAAAAATTTTGGGGAGGAACATTCTAAGTCCTTCAGTGGGGATTTAGCTCGACCTGAAAAAGGGCCAGACACTTGGGGCTTTCTAAGTTGTGGGGAGCTTTATTCTAAGGGCAGTGGGAATCCATTGGAAAATGGATGACACAGGTGCCCCAGATGGCAGTCTCTTGAATACCTTCCACCTCTTTCAACTTTTCGAGGACGCCTTGCCTCTTAAAATTTACTTAAAAGGACCTAGTCACCGGGGCACCTGGGTGGTTCAGTTGATTGAGCATCTGACTCTTGGTTTTGGCTCAGGTCATGATCTCAGGGTCTTGACATCTAGCTCAGACTCCAAGCTGGGTGTAGAGCCTGGTTGGGATTCTCCCTCACCCTCTGCCCCACCCTCCATCCACACACTGGCACTTGGAAGAAAAAGAAAGGAAGGAAGGAAGGAAGAAAAGAAAGAAAGAAAGAAAGAAGAAAGAAGGAAAGAAAGAAAGAAAGAAAGAAAGAAAGAAAGAAAGAAAGAAAGAAAAAGAAAGAAAGAAAGAAAGAAAGAAAATCAATCAAGCCAGCTGGGTATTTCCCATTAGAGTAAGGACACCCAGAATCCCTACCAAAAACTCCAGGAATTCTTCAGAAGCTTGGACTCTGCCGAGCACTCCTGATGTTTGCTGAATTTTGCTTGCTTGCTTGCATTCCTTTCTCCCTTTCCTTTCTTTCCTTTCCTTTTCCTTCCTTCCTTCAATATATTCATTTATTTGAGAGAGAGAGAGCACAAGCAGGGAGGGGGCAGGGAGAGAGAGAATCTTTTTTTTTTTTTTTAAAGATTTTATTTATTTATTTGTCAGGGACAGAGGGAGAGAGAGTGAGTGAGCACAGGCAGACAGAGAGGCAGGCAGAGGCAGAGGGAGAAGCAGGTTCCCTGCCAAGCAAGGAGCCCGATGTGGGACTCGATCCCAGGACACTGGGATCATGACCTGAGC